TTAACAGAAAACCTAATCGGAAGAAATAAGGGTTTTTGAAGGTAGAGTTTTAAAAGAAACTTTGAGAAAATATTTTGAAGTTTAGAGCAAGCACAGGTCTGAAACAGACATAAAAGAAATCGGAAGAACCTTAAAGGCTAGGGTTTCAGAAGAACCCCAAAGGGTGAGAAAGGCTTTGAAAACCATCGATCTAAGCAGGAGAGTCCAGAGTCAAACTCGAATAGCCATGGCCGGCCGGAGCAAGGTCAAAGATGACCGGAGACAACCATAAAACTGAAATCGACCAAAGTCTGGACCAAGTTTTCCCAGGATTTAGCCTTGAAACCATGATAATCGGGCATGTAGAAGTTATAGGAGGCGGATACAGGCCTCCGATGGCCTTGGAAGCCATGGATTTGGGAGGTTTTAGGGTTGTAGTTAAGGGTGGCGGCTAGGGTTTGAGAGAGGATTGAGAGAGACGGGGGATTCAGAGGCGGCGGGGTGTGAATAATGAAGGGGATTTGGGGGTCTTTTGGGCTTAATTAGGAAAGGGGCAATGTCGACCGTTGATCTAAATGATCAACGGTCAGGATTGAAAGGCTTAGGTAGGGGATCCGGGTGGGTCATTTAAATGGGTTATGGGTCGGTTTAAAGGGGAATTGGGTCTTGGTAATTGGGTTTTAATTGGGTTTAATTGGGGTGCCAAATCAGGTTAGAACTGAAATGAAAATGGGCTAACGTTCAAATAGCCACTTTTCCCTATTTGATTTATAAAAATAGCAAAATAACTTCTGGAAATAAATTAAAGGTACTAAAATGATTAATAGTACATGATTATCAAATTAAAAAGATACTGGGCTTAATTTTTTATAGATATAAACATAATTAAATCTAACAGAGGCTAATATTGCAATTATATGCAATTTAGCTTTAAAAATGCTAAATAAATTTGTAAAAATATGTAAAAATTATCTCAGCTATATTTTAGCATAAATATGAGAATCCAATAACTGAATCACCAAAATGATAATTTTGGGGGTAATTATTGGGTTTTCTCTAAATAAAATAGGGCAATAAATTGATTAAAAAATCTTTAAAAATTAAGAAAAAATAGTAAAACATTTGGACATACTTATATATGCACACATATGATATTTTGAAAGTATTTTTCATTTTAGAAAATATATAGGGAAAAATTGGGTATCAACAACTATGAGCCTCGAGTCTAGCTGTTTGGTTGCTGCCTCAGGAGACTTCAAGGTACATTTGCCGCGTCCGCAGTCCTCGGAGTCCCCTTCTATCCCTTGTGTTAATTTCCCCTTTTTTTCTTCAGTCATGAATGTATAGAGCAGTTAGAAACTCTTAGAAGCTTGTGATATTGCGACATTTCGGGTTTTGAGAAAGATGATTATTGTATATGCCGAGTGGCACCGTTTTTGCTTATTAATTATAACTGTTAGCTGTGATCCTTGTGTTTTCATTTCATTTCCCCAATATTAGGCTTACCTAGTCGTAGAGACTTGGTGGCGTCACGACAGTTCACGGAGGGAGAAATTGGGTCGTGACAATACATCAACAATGCAAGAGAAAACAATTTCAATTAACAGAGCTATGATCCTTATACAATTTGCAAAAAGTCAACAAAAGTCAACTCCCCGGGCCCGCACCTCGGAACCCAACAAAATTTTAAAAACCCGAACACCCATTCCGATACGAGTTCAACCATACAAAAATTATCAAGTTCCGATACCAATTTGTCCTTCAAACCATCATTTTTCATTTTTGAAAGATTTTACTATTTCCCCCAAATTTTTCTTTAGATTCTCATGAATTTGATGTTAAATCTAAGATATAATCACAAAATATAATTGAAAATTGATTAGAGGCACTTACCCAATGATTTGATATGAAAATCTTCTCTCAAAATTGCCCACTCTCGGACATAGGGTTCAAAATATGATAAAATGAAGCTAAGTCCGAAATGGGAGTCTTAATACCAGCCTCAGATGTCGCATTTGCGACATCAGGATCGCAAATGCGATGCTCGCAAATGCAACAAAAGTATCACAAATGTGAAGGCTGGCCAACTCTATCAAAGTCGCAAATGCGACATAAGACTCACAAATGCGAGCTCAGTATTATCGCAAAAGCGACTGTTTGTGTCGCAAATGCAAACTCCCTTACCCCAGCCCATCGTCGCAAAAGCGAGAATGATCTGGAAAATGCGATCATCGCAAATGCGATTAAATCCTCGCAAATGCGAGAACAGAGACACCAGCATAGTTGAACCTTCTTCAAACACTCCGAAATGCGTACGAAACTCATCCGAGCCCTCGGGACTCCATGCCAAACACCCACATATGTCTGAAAACATAACACGAACTCGCTTGTGCGATTAGAACACCAAAATAACCTCTAGAACCACGAATCGGACGCCAAGAACTTCTAGAATCGCAACCAAGCGTCCGAACCATATCAAATCAACTCCAAATGACACCAAATTTTTCAGGAAAGTCCCAAATGACATAATGGAGCGGTTCCAACTCTCGGAATCGCATTCCGATCCCGATATCACCAAAGTCAACTCTCGGTCAAACCTCTCAATCTTCCAAAAGTTCAACTTTCCAATTTTTGCCAAAATGCTTTAAATTACTCTACGGACCTCCAAGTCCAAATCCAAATGCACGCCTAAGTCCAAAATCACCACCCGAGCCTATAGGAACCATCGGAACTCCAATCCGAGGTCAAATACTCAAAAGTCAAATCTTGATCAATTCTTTTAACTTCAAGCTTCTCAAATGAGAGTCACTTCTAAAAATCCTTTCCGAACTTCTCAAAAACCCGAATCGATGTTGCACACAAGTCATAATACACTATGTGAAGCTACTCGTGACCTCAAACTGCCGAACCGGACGCAATTGCTCAAAATGACCAGCCGGGTCATTATAAATAATCTTTTGCACCTTTTTTTTTTACAAATAAAGGCACGTGGATCAAGATGAGATAATGATGGATTTTTCCACAAAATTTCCCGTTTGGTTTCACCAATTTTTTCCCATTTGATTTTGGGAGAAATTCCTCATCGAATCGATAATCTGCAAATCGAGCAGGGAACAAATTTCCCATTAATGTTTTGAGATAGCGAATAATGGAGGAAGATTCAAACCCAACATATATTCCTAACCTTCTTTGGGGACCCATCTTGGTGCGATATGGCGGTGCTACTGCACATATACTACGCATCCAAAAATTCTTAAATGGGATATATTAGGTTCATGACTCGAAACTAATTGCAATGGGGATATTTATGATAATTTATCGGTCTGAGACGAACTAGCATTGTTGCATACAAAATGGCATGACCCAAAACAGAAGTGGGTAACCTCGTTTTCATGAGTAACAGTCTTACTATCAATTGCAGACGTTTAATCGAAGACTCTGCAAGGCCATTTTGTGTGTGAACATGAACTATAAGATGTTCCACTTTTATCCCAATTGATAAGCAATAATCATTAAATGCTTGGGATGAAAACTCAGCAGAATTATCACGTCTAATAGACTTAATTGGATTATTGGAAAATTGTGCCCGTAATCGAATTATGCAAACGCCAGGTTGCGAGATGACAATAGACACACATGAGACCATCTAGAAGATGCATCTATTAAGACCATAAAGTATCTAAACGACCCACTAGGTGGGTGAATAGATCCACAAATGTCCCCTTATATACGTTGCAAAAACGCAGAGGACTCAATCCCAACCTTTGTTGGTGATAGTATAATAATTAACTTGTCTTGATAACAAAAAGTACATGGTATTCATTATTTAAAAGAATCTTTACATTCTTTAATGGATGCCCATTTGAGTTTTCTACAATCCGTCTCATCATAATTGATCCACGATGTCCCAATCGATCATGCCAAAGTACAAAAATATTGGAATCAGTAACCTTTTGGTTTACGATGAATTTACCTCAATTGCACTAATTCTTGTCCAATACAGGCCACAAGATAAAGATGAGAACTTCTCAATAACCCTCTTCCAGACAGAGATATTTTTTGTAACGATGAGATATTCAAGATTAATCTCATCTATTGTTTCAATATAATATCCATTTCGGCAGATTTCATTAAAACTCAACAAGTTCCTCTTGAACTTGGAGGAGAACATTGCATTATCTATAATAATGTTCCCCTAGGCAGAGTTATAGTAGCTCTTCTAGAGCCTTCAGTTAGAATACTACTACCAGAAATTGTAGTAATATCTGCCTTACACATACTTAAATGAGAGAAATATTTCTTCTATTTGAATATTATATGTGTCGTACATGAATCAATTAAACAAATATTTTTACTATTAAACTTTGATCCAAATTTTTTTGTTGGGATATCCATATTTGCTTCCCATGGTTTGTCATACAAAAAGAAATATACAAATAAATATTTGTTTTTTTAGAGAAAAAGGGAAAGAAACAAAGTTAAATCGATAACTCAATAATGACTTATTCAACTAGTGTGCCGATAATTTTTTGTAAGATACTTTCTTTGATTGAACAACTTAATTAGAAAACAAATGTCGCATTTCAATACAAAAGTTTCATACAGTACCAGTTGATTAAAACCAATCCTTTTAAACATATGGAAAAGCTTTAGCAAACAGTGGTACATCAATTTAATTTAGACTATGTACTAAGAGTACGAACTTAAGTCTATTAGCATGTTTCGAAAAATTCTTTTACCATATATTAAAAGTAACATGATCAATTAAATGAAGGAAACAGTGGGCAAGCCTTTAGCTCTAACAAAGTAAGAAAGTAGATTCTTGTTGGTCTTTTAATAAGATCAATATTCAAACTCAATAAGGTAAGCAGACTAAAACCAAACTTTATCCAATGAAGTATTATACTAATTCGACATACTAAATAATTCTAATTGCAAAACTACTACTCATGAAACTGCAATAATTACATGATATTTATTCATTAACTGATACGAATAAGCAAAAATTAAAATCAAACTACTCAATTTTCCTTAACCACGGATCCATCACCGATCAAGTGGTCTATTTTTTCATCAGGGTGTTCAAAGAAGTCTGCCACATCCAAGTGGGTAATGTCAAATTCATTATCAGTGACAAAATTAGCTTCAAGGCCTTTATTCTTTACGGATGCTTGATAAAGCTCAACCAAATATCTTGGTGTACGACAAATATTTGCCCAATGCCCTTTTTCACCGCAACTGCATTCAGTTTCTAAACCCTTTGCCTTTGGCTTCTCATCTTTCCCTTTCCACTTTTGGTGGTTATTTTTCTTTGGAGGATGATTAACACTAGAAAAATTTCTTCCTTGGCCACGGCCACGAACACGAACACGAATAGGGCCACAACCTTTTGAATGCTTAGCATAATGAGAATACACTTCATCCACTTCAGGCAATGGTGTAGACCTAGTGGTTCGATCTTTATGATTTCTCATGAGCAAGTCGTTATTTCGTTCAGCCTCAAGGAGAAGAGAAATCAACTCAAAGTACTTCTTGAAACCTTTCTCTCGGTACTGCTGTTGCAACATCATATTGGAGGCATGAAATGTTGGCTAACGGGTCCTTACTTATTCAGGGGGGAGCCTCGAAAAGGTTGTGAACATTTTTTCAAGTATATCATAGTCACCGATACTGTCTCCACAGGTTTCTATTTAGAAGTAATTCTGGACATCGCAGAATTATATCCAGAAATAGACTTAAAGTCTTGGAGCCTCAGATGAGCCCAATCATATCGTGCTTGTGGAAGTGTGCCCAACTTTAAATTGTCATATATTTCCTTTAAGCCATTCCACAAAACAAGTGGATCTTTGACTGTGAGATATTCTATTTTCAACACTTTATCAAGGTGATGGTGTAAGAAAATCAAGGCCTTAGCACAGTCTTGGGTAGATGCTTTATTTTTATCTTTAATGGCGTCTCCAAGACCCATAACATCTAAATGGATTTCAGCATCCAACACCCATAACATATAACTCTTGCCCGAAATTTTAAGTGTAACGAACTTTCTTTTCATAATATCGGACATAATTAAAAGAGAGAAATTTATACCTTAGTTTTCTCAAAGAGCTTCTTGAGACGGTAGAGTCTCGTGCTAATAACGTGAAATGAACTAATAAAGAAGAATATTGGAAAGAAAAGTATATATATATATATATATATATATATATATATATATATATATAGAGAGAGAGAGAGAGAGAGAGAGAGAGAGAAGAGAGAGAGAGTTCTTATTGATAGGGGAAAGAGTGACTTAGCCACCAAGTAACAACCCTAAAATCTCTCTAAAATATAGATATTCACCATAAATAAAAGACAAAATTACACAATAATGCACTTCATAAGTAGACCTTGCACTATTTTAGCCCAGTTACAAATTTGCAAATATGTAGCCAAAAATCAATAAGACCTTTTCTTTTACCATTTCCGCTAACTATAACAACCTCATCTTTTTTTTCATTACCTACCTACCGTATTGTAGCTCTCTCCTCATTTTCACCCATAAATATTCAATTTATTTAATTAAAAAGTATCATATGCAAACAAAAAATGAAAACGAAAATCAGTTCCCTATTTTTAGTGTAACCATTAATCGAGACACTCAGTCAACACTCATTCATGGCTTCTCCCATAATCAATATTTCTCCGAATTATTTTTTTTTCGTTTTCTTATTTTGTGTATCTTTAGGATTGAAATATCCGTGAGTTTTTATTCTCTTTTTTCCTCAAGTTTATATATACCTATCACAATTACAAAACGCAAAATCAGACGCGAGAAACCTAAAATCTCATCTTGTTCAATGCTAATCTTCTTAAATTTCGATTATGATTTTGTGAGAAATTTGGAGTTGGTATTGTTTGAACTTATTAGAAATAGTCCAAGTAGGTTGTATACAAAGTTTGAAGTTATTTGCTGGAGAATTGGACTAGTTTTATACAAGAATTGCAAGTGAAAATCGTACAAAAAGTTCATCATAGATGCTTATACACTTTTATATAATGTTATACACTTTTATACAAAGAGGTACATTATGTATATAGTTGTATAAAAGTGTATAAAGATTTATAATCACAGTAGTAAAAATATTCGTGATACACTATGTATATAGGTGTATAAGAAGAATGAGAAGAAGAAGGGGAAGAAGAAGA